AAACAATCAGCAATATTAATAATAGAATTTTACTTTATCTAAGGGGAAATGTTCATTTACGGTTTGTTCTCTTTGCGAGTAATCGCTTTGATTCCGTTTCGCTTTCGCAGTGTTTAGGCGTAACACTGAACAGAATGTCTTTGTATATTACCAACTAGCTGTTCCCGTGCGACTTCATCCGCATAAAAAATATTTACCCCCTAAGTTTAATGGCGTTAAAATATATAGCCTAAAGCGTGACGCAATTGTAGGGCTTTTTATTAAAAAAAGAATTATTCAAAAATATACCGTAATTGCTGACATCTTAGGCAACAAAGAAGTGTGTGTTTACGCTTTATTATAATAGTATAGATATGTAAGCAGAGAGCAATATAAAACGTCAAGTTCGTGACATCTCCGTTATATTACTTAATTTGAATACAAGTATACAATACAAATGTATTCCTTGTATACTTGAGTTAATAAAATAATGTAATTCTTTTGAACAATCGATTTTTATAGCTTCGATGAAGTCGTGTGGAAGTTACCTACTTAGGTATTTATTACTGGATTCTTATTGTATTTAGAATGAGAACCCAGTAATAAATCTTTAAAATAATGAAAAAAAACAGCCTTACTTGAAAATTAAAGCGACTCCGTCCGTGGAATTAATAAACAAAAACCTATGTGTTCTTTCAAACTAGCCACATCTATGCTAAATTTCATCGAGATCCATTCAGCAGTTTAGGTTACAAACTCTAACAAACATCCATCTAAACTTTAGCATTTATGTTAGTAAGACAAGGTTTGTTAGTTTGTTAAAATCATCGAAATTACAGCAAAATATTTACGTTACAGAACATAGATGTAATAATTTTTAAATTGCATGGATACGGTCGGCTCAATAGGAAAAAGTTCCCATAGGTTCAATCAATCAGTGAACAGATCAGTTTAAAGGGAAACACCTATATTTATGCGTTTATCTTGTCAATAATTCGATATCCAAGATAACATAGACGACTACTGCCGCTTATAAAATCTTGCAACCGAAGACGCACAACGCCATCTAGGATATCCAAATGTAACTTATTATTTATTTCAAAATTTATATCTAATATTCGTTAATAGATGTCGCTGTTAAACACTTCTGAATATAAATGTATTTTTGAAATATTCCTATTTATTGTTTTGTTTTTATTGAATTAAGCTTACAATTAAATTTAACACGAAAGTCTTATATTAATATTTTTCCAATTAAATTATTTACTGAATTTGAAACTGTTAAAACTTGCACTTGACTTTTGATTTATAAATGCGAAAATAAAAAAAAATAACATGAAACTGCTGCATTTTGGAGGAAATTTTAAAAAAGGAACATTCGAATTACGAATCGGATCTTACAATCGACATTTCATACAACATCTGCGAACAGTCAACCGCGACTTAAAGCCCAAAACATAAATTACCGAGTTTAAAGTGTAACGGGAACTTAATGGGACGTACTGCGGCAACGAAGCTACCGAGATTAGTGATGGGTCGATATCGATTTAATATAATTAATAATAAAATCAATTAAATTACGATAAAACATACTAATAGCAACACGTTATTAAAATGGACGCAGTAACTGGCAGTAACCTTCAAGGCAATGTGACAAAGATGTGTTAAGCTTGATGCAGGCTGGATTTAGAGCCAAATTTACCTGAACTAGTCCAATTTTAAGTATATTACCATTAAGGTTCTTGTAGTATCTATGTAGTTAGTAGAGATTGTACGCATCAATTTTGATAATCATTACTTGTCTATACAAGCTAACTAGCTTTCACCCGCGACTCGAATTAAAACCTAAAGTGAGTAGCCTATGTGTTCTTCCAGGCTATCCTTTACATCTATTTCATTGAAGAAAATTTCATTGAAATCCGTTCAGCAGTTTAGGCTACAAATTCTAACAAACATCCATCCATTCATCAATCTACACTTTCGCATTTATAATATAAGTATGATTGAGAACAAAGTTTACGATAATTTTATATCGATATATTTATCACATCACTATAAGAATCAATCATAAAATTGTCGTTGTAAAACAATGGCGGCGCGTGTGGCCGCGGTGTGCGGCCATCGATATTAGCACTGTTACATTTACATAATAATTGTCCCAGATATCGATGTTTTTAATTTTATTTATATAAAAACACTTTTATTTAGTCATTTGTTATATCAACTAAATAAATAATGTAATAAATAGTATTAATTTAATATTAGAACTGGTAACTTTGAATTTAGAATATCCGTGTTCTATTTTTAAAAAGAAACGCCAGCAATTAATTTAAATCAAATAACCATAAGTGATTTTATTTTTATAGTAATTTCTTTAGTCAGAATCATTAAGTCTGTCTTTAGTAAAGATTTAAATCTACACTAAAGAACTGCCTAAGTATTAAATGAAAACAATTTTTTCTTTGTGACTTCTATGAGTTAAAATTTGAATTAACGTTATAGACTTTATTTAATTAAATATACCAATTTGACCTTTAATTTTGACAATGATATAAAAGTATTTTGATTATCAACAATAAAAAACCTCTATTAATGCTTTCGAGGTGTTACTAAAGAATTTACTGATCTTAATCATATTTGAATATCGCGACAATTGGGCCTTATGAATAACCTAAAATAATATACAGTTTACTCGAAATTAGTTCTTATCTTAACTGAATAAGGTTGAATTTTGCTAATCAATTCTATCTCTCGCGTGCAGACAACCTAATCTAAATACCCTAATTACTCGACACATAACGTAAATAGCTTTATTCAAATGGTGCCAACTCATGGCCAGTGTCGTTAGAAAAGAGTTCGAAATTCAAATTTTTTTTCTAATTGTTTTTCACAGACAACAGTGTCGTGTGTCACGTCACTACTTTAATATTCTTTTAAATAAAAAATAATACTGCATAAAAAAGTGAAAAGTCTTATCTATTCTAATTTCTAATCCGTATTTTTTATGAGACGAAGACATGTAGAACTTACAATAAAATACAAACGCTTTAAAATATCGTAATATAAAATCTTACTTAAGCTACTCAGTCAAAGAAACTATTCTTGTCAATTTCTTTCGTAATATCTCACAATACAGAATAATCGACGATTTTTTTTGGATGAATCGCCAATAATCGAATTGTTAACATCGATATCGATTCAAAAAATAACGTGCGTTTCCCGCCATTCTGTTAAACATGGCATTTACGATCGAACGCGCGCGTTTTAATGCCGGCGGATTAATTTAATATTTTGTAATTACCGCCCGCTCCGTCGGAAGTTGAACTTAATTAGAAAATGTTTTCTTACTAGACTATGTTTAGTGTTAACGTATTGTTAACGATGTTAAATTAATGTTTTTATATCGTGATTTATTTTCTGTAAATAAAATGGCAACATAGAATTACAAATTTGAGATGGAAAATGCGATTAGTGGCTAACTATTCCATTCCAGTGTTATTTCTATAAAATAAGGGTTAAAATAAATAAAAACACACCATTAGACTAATTGTATTCCTTTAATAAATAGGATAATATAATATATTATTCAATAGCTAGTTTTAAAATAAAACCGCTACGGGCGTATAGATAACAAACATCTTCTTTCTGTTTGTTAATTATTTTAATTACTCCTGAGCTAGTCCAAACCGTCAATTATTGTTTTAAAAATAAACTTTGAAAATGCCACAATACAAGTTCCGACTGCTTATTCTTAATTACTTATAAGTGAGACGTAACTCAAACTCAAACGTTGAAAGTAGGTATTTAGTGAACTTATCTTTAAACATAGACGTTGATGTATTGTTGGTGAAACGGAGCGTGTTTGTTTTTTTTTAATGACCGCCGGCGGCCCGGACGCTCGGCCGTTCAGCCACACCGTGTAATTAGTTGGGTATAAAAACTTTAGGTAATTAATTGTGCTTTGTGAAGCCCAAACTGATGCGTTGTGCTTATAAATTGATATTAATCGTTGACATTTCATGACAAGCGGTAATTGTGTTTAAGATAAGGGGATTAGCATGTTCTTACGACCGAAAGAGGTCTGGCTGGAAAAAAAATACGCTTTTTTTTTCTTTATTACTTTTTATTCTGATATCCTCTTTCGTGCATGATAAAACTGAATATTCGGCTACACAAAATAAATACTTCAGTTTTAAAAATTACCAATGAATCAAAAATATAACAGAATTGTTAAATGACAGAAGCCAATGCTTTTCTTTAGAAATTGTAGATAGTTAATGTGTAACGTTTGCTTTTTTACAAATGGCATGCTTAATTAGAAGTCATTAATTTAACTTGCGCACGGTATTGCGTGTGCGAGGATCGTTCCTAAGCGATTAATTAGCAATTCAAACAAATTCAGCTAATAACATCTAAACTCAGTGTACGATTATGTTTGTTTGAAATAAATGTTGATTAACAATTTGTACTAATCTATTTTTTATGTTAACTAAAAGTTGGTATTGCTGAATAAAGTGTGTAGGATGATGGTAAAGTGTTTTAGTTTTCCATGGCTGCTAATTCAGGCCAGATCTGTGGCTGAATTTTGATCGATACTAGTCATATGCTGGATCTGGATATAGCCAGAGAGCTATAAAGTCTAGTTACCAAGCACATTGCCGTCGACTCGAACTGCAAATACCAATTACTGTACGAGTAACCTAAAAATCGTATTGGCTCTGAATGTGTTAGGTTTAAACAGATTCTATTGTTTAAAAGTAGATATTTATAGCGATAATTTAAAAAAAATATAACAGTGAAGTTTGAAGAAGCAATTAAATTACGTTTATCGAGAAAATAATGTAAATATGATTACAAATGTATAAGTATTCATAGAATAAAATTTATTTTCATGTTAGATAAAAAAACCTAAGATAAAAATAATTAAATTACAAATATTCAAAACCTAAAAACTAGTTTGACTATCGCGGTCTTTGTAAACACAATTTGACTGTCATTCTATCAAATTCATCACTTGTCAAACTGACAGTAGCCATTCGATCTTTGGTCAGTATAGTGTTTTCTTTAAATTAAAAAAAATCGTAATGTAATTGTCAAAGACATGATATTATTAATTAAAATGTGATATTTAATTTGATATTATGAGCTTAGGTTGATGGATCTGTGCGTATAAATTCATTTATTCATGTACAGAAGTATAAATTTAATGGGGCATCGACTTAGCAGTTCAAAATGTCTCACAATTTGTTTGGGACTAACTTTTATTATGGGCTGCTTTTTAGCCTCATTGCCAATACAGAGCGGTAAGTATTGTGAATAAATACTTGGAATGTAAAGTAATATTTCATACACTGTTTAAATTACTTCTTTGTTGCCAGTCACTCAAATGTTTAGTTTTTTTTTTATATTTTGCCTAACTAAACTCAATATATAACAACAATCACTAATATTGCCAATCTTACTTGAATTATAAATGCAAAAGTTTCTTTAGATATCTCCGGAAGGGCTAAACAGATTTGGCATAAATGTAGAGGAAGAACACACAACTACTTAGTTTTTTTTTTAATTTTGCAAGGATGTAACCGCGGCCAAAAGCTAGTATAAATATAAAGATTAATTTTAATCTATGGTAATGTACTTTTATAAAAATTAACATATGATTTGAACATCACCAACTCATTTATTTAACATTTAAACACTGTATATCTAATAATATTGCAATTTGTTTATTTATTATTATTTTTTCTCGGAAATCTTGTTGTTAGTTTTAATTAATGGTTAATTGTTACTTTTTCTTGTTTGTATTTTTTATTCAAATGTATTTATTATGTTGCAATGCGTTTTTGAGCTGATTAAATGTTTATTATTATAACTACATATATCTTTATTGCTTATTTTGTATATAATATGTTTTGTTTAAAAATAAAGTAAAACCACCAGCACCACAGGGTGCGGAATCCGATGACTGAAGCAACCAGAGGTCAGAGTTTAGAGACAGGACTCCCCTCATTATGCATGTGGCTTCTAAAATAACAGCCTTTTAAAGGCCCTTAATCCAACTGCCTTATTTTTTAAAATCTTTGTTAGGTAAAGGGGGGATTTTTGTATTGAGAAAGACATGTCAATCCCATAGTGCTACTCTTAGATTTTAAGAACCAAGCTGGCATAATCGTACAGCCGCTACAGATGGTGGCTCAGCCAATGTTGACATAGTAATGTCTACATCAGATGGGTTAAGCTTCAAACTGCCTTATTTACTTTTTATTAATAATAAATTCTATTTTCCAGAACAAGCTCTTCAAAAATCAATACAATATGAAATCTCGTCACAAAAACATACAAAGAAACTAGCATTGATAGTACCATTCAGAGATCGTTTCGAAGAATTATTAGAATTTGTACCACATATGTACAGATTTCTCAACAAACAACGAATACCCTTCGAAATATTCGTCATCCAGCAGAAAGATAACAACCGTTTTAACCGTGCATCCTTAATTAACGTTGGATTTTTATACACAAGAGACAATTTCGATTACATCGCAATGCATGATGTTGATTTATTACCTTTAAATGACAATTTAAAATACAACTATCCGATAACCGGACCGTTGCATATATCATCACCACAGACACATCCGAAATACCACTATGAAACTTTTATTGGTGGTATTCTGTTGATCAAAAAGGAACACTTCGAAATGGTGAACGGTATGTCTAATAATTATTGGGGATGGGGTTTAGAAGATGATGAATTCTACGTAAGACTGAAGGATGCTGGTCTATCGGTTGTGAGGCATGATAAGATTGATACTGGGATTGAAAATACTTTTAGGTAAGTGAATTTTTTATATAATCTTACTTCTTACTAATATTATAAATGCAAAAGTTTAGACGGATGGATGGATAGATGGATGTTTGTTAGCGTTTGTAGCCTAAACGGCTGAAAGGATCTCCATGAAATTTGGCTCAGGTTTAGAGCATAGTCTGGAAGAACACATAGGCTACTTTTTATCCCTGAAATAGTTACGGTTCCCGTGGGATTCATTGATTCAGTTTTTTAATGTTTACTCGACCATTCTGCAACGGGTCAACATATCTTATTGAAATTTGGCACAGATATAAAACAAAGTCTGGAGTGCATGTGGGATAAGCTTCATCCCCGAGAAATGTCCAGTTCCCGAGGGATACGTAGCTTTTTGTAATTTTTATAGTTTGTATGATTTTTAATACCACGCGTACGAAGTCGCGGGCAACAGCTCGTTTACAATAATCGAAAGGCGAGATTGAACCCTTGACCTCAAGATGGAGCAGTACTCCAAACTTTATGCCCGGTTTACTTATTAGTAACAATTGTTTTGAAACTTTTTAACTGTCAGTAATTTGTACATTGGTTAAGTAACGTATCTAGTACCAATGTTTTTGTAAACTTAATCATATTTCATTCTAATATTATAAATGCGAAAGTTTAGATGGATGGACGGATGTTTGTAAGAGTTTGTAGCCTAAACGATTGAATGGATTTTGGTGAAATTTGGTACAGATGCAGAGGATAGTCTGGAAGAACACATAGGCTACTCACTTATGTTTTTTTAAATTCCACGCGGACGGAGTCGCGAGCGAAAGCTAATCTACATTAATGTAAAAAGGAATGATTTGTATTTTTGTATGTATTAAAAACTACTGGACAGATTCCAAAAATTCTTTCACCATTAAAAAGCTATGTTATCACTGAGTAACATACTAGATTTTTATTTTTTTTGTCTCCACGGAGACGAAATCAAAGTAACATCTACTCTTTTATATATGGTTTACAATAGTTGATAATAGTATAGCAATATTGAACCCTTGACCTCAAGATCTGTAGTCCGTACCCCAGATCATTATTATATTGGTGCTTTAGAATCATGTGTTAATATTCAGTAATGTATTTATGTCGATTATAGGTAACATTTGATAAAACAATCGCACAACTGTTGTGCGATTGTCGATTGTTTCGCAGCATTCAACTGTTTTGCACAACTAAAAATCGATAAATGTAGCTCCATGTAAACTCATAGGAATCAAAACGACTCTATAGAGTTATTTGTCAAAAGTATACAGTCAAAGGTGTCACGCTCTAAGAGTACCAATTTGATATTTGTTTTTGTGATTTTAATATGTATATAATTTACCAAATGTTATGTAAAAACATTGTAATGTCTGCATTGTCTTCAAATGTAGTTAACAGTGGGTCAAATATGACTACTAGTCACCTAAGTTACGGGCCTACCCTAAGTTGTTTAAGCCTCGGAGACTATTCAGAGTTCTGTGTGGAGGTAGTGAGATATTTATTGTTGGTTATAAGACTATATCGGTGAAATCATGCTGCTTGCTAATTTGCTGGTGTTAAAAACTCAATTTTTATCTTGTTTTAAATGTTTTAGGAATATAAAGAAATCAATATTTCTTTCCGTCAATCAATTTCTATTAAAAATACATTTTTCTATACTAATATTATAATGAGGAAATTATTGGTGTTTCTAAATGTTGAAATAACACAGAAACTATTTTTGTTTAAATTCTATCACCATTTCACATTCACATTCACCACCTTTGTTATCACTGAGTAACAAAGGCCATATTATTACTTTTTTTAATATAACGTGAACGAAGTCGCGTGCAACAACTAGTAATTTATATGTTATGAATATTTAAAATGTTAAGTAAAAATATTTCTAAAGATCAATGTAACTTTTTGTATTTTCTTTAAAAACTTTACTATAAAAACTTTAGTTTTGTAATAGGGAATATGTATTTTTTCTTTTTTTAACGGATTCTTTTGTTCTAAAATAACCAGAAAAATTTTGACGCGAAAATATTCCACCATTGAGGTAAAAGTATTAAAATTATGTTACGACCATTTTCGACTAAAACGCGACCGGAGTTGTCATGAGACGATTGACGTCAATCGTCATATTTAATGCATTTCATTCATCACATTCGCTCAGATGTCACTTCGATGTAAAAAACAACAAAGTTACTCAAGGTCAAAAAGTCAAAAATCGATTCATTTTTATTATTCCTGGTACAAATAAGTGGTAATTAATGATTCTATTCATTAATTTTTTATTTTAAAGTTGGTTTTGATATCGTGTTTACAGTAAAATACTTCAAGAGTGTATTTCTATATAAACTAACGTAAATGAACTGTGTATTGTCAACGCAGCGACGCCATATTAGATAAGCCACTTGCTTCGACCAATAGTGTGCGTTTTAGAACTAAGAGAGGGAATTTTGAAAAAGACACTTTTTAATGATTATATTTTGCTTTACATACATGTTTTTATAGTAATAAAGTATACTTAAAGAAAGTTTGGTACAATTTGGCGTCTTATGCATATTGCCTATTTGCTTGTTTAACAAATATATAAATGACATATGTAGTTATCTTTTTGGAATGTAAAATTCTTGATTAGAACCCTAATAATTATTCAACATTTATAGTAAATTACTATCAAAAAGTATTTTGTAAATTGAACGGGATGTTAAACTGGTTTTATCAACTTTATTACGCAAATGTATAATTTTAACTAACTAAATAACAATTATAATTCTAGCTACACTATTAATAAATGTAAATTAATTCTAAAGGTAAATAGTGTTACATTTGTACTGTTTTCCAGAATATCGTTTAGTTGCAGATTAAAATTTCAAAATTATCTTATTTCCATATTCAAAGACTAAGAACCTGTCCTACCAAATTGTAAATTGTCTGATAACAAGCCAATGTGATGGAAATATAGGATTTTCTTACCTTACCAGTGACGTCATTGTTAAGCTATCTGAGCCTCTATCAGCCAGAGGTGGGACAACCCCTAAACCTAGTAATAAAATTAAGTAGTAAGTGTCAATAGCCTAATAGTTTTCTTTAACCACTAACTAAGCTCTAAGCTTGTTGAAATGTTAGTAAATTAACAAAAATCCACTAATCATACTTCATACTAATACTAATATTATAAATGCGAAAGTTTAGATGGATGGATAGATGTATGGATGGATGGATGTTTGTTAGAGTTTGTAGCCTAACCGGCTGAACGGGTTTCGATGAAATTTGGTGTAGAGATAGTCTGGAAGAACACATGGCATGGCAACACAGGCTACTCACTTTGGTTTTTTTATTTTCACGCGGATGAAATCGCGGGCGACAGCTAGTATTTATTATAAAACAAATAAAATTATAATGTCATTTTATTGTTTACATTTATCTAATTATCAATTGAAAATGTCAAAATGACATGACATGATGTCAAACCATGGCAACCTTGATTCCTTGATGTTGGCAGCAACTTACGGTCTCTTTCCCTCATTAGGGTTTTATCCGAAATATTTCGCCCTAAGTTTAATAACGTGAAAATACATTGCCTAAAGCGTAACGAAAGTGTAGCGCACTTTATTAAAAGAAGAGTTATTCAAAAATATGCTGTGATTGCTGATAGCTTAGGCAACAAAGAAGTGTGTGTTTACGCTTTATTATATTAATATAGATATAAATTATCTATTCTTTACTATACTATATATGTATTCATAAACATACATAAACCTTCCTCTTCAATCACTAGCTATCTAAACATACAAATACAGACAGCGGAAAGTGACTTTGTTTTAAACTGTGTAGTGTTAAAAAATCGGTACAAAGTCGGAATCGCGGCGCAACACTAGATCAAGCATATACGTCCCTCTATGACATCTGTCAATGTCAATCAGTATTACGGATGTGTGTCATTTTGGCGGGAATCAGCAGACTTTCCGTGCCATTTGACTAAACTATCGCACCGTTTAGTCGCGCTTTGATTCCTATGAGCTTAGGAGCACACTACGATTTTTAGTTGTGTAAAACAGTTGGTTGCAAAACAATCACACAACAGTTTTATACGTTCTGAGTATCGAAGTATTTATATTACCAACAAGCTGTCCCCGCAAACTTCGTTAGCGCAAATTCAGACCACCCGTTACGCCAAAAAAGTAGCCTATACCATGCCTATCCATGTCAGCTACCCTGCTGTGAAAGTCCCGTCGAAACCGACTCATCTGTTTCGGAGATTATCCGAAACAAACGCGGTTTGCGGACAGACAGACTGGATAATTCAAGAATTGATGATCTGTAGATCAGTTCACTGTTATAGTGTGTCTAAATAAGATAGATTAGTTTGATAATGCATTTAAAATTTAGTAGGTTGTGTAAAATCAGTCATGATTTTCGATTTTTATTCTTATCGAAGTTGTAATCGATAGATTCATAGTTATAACTTATGAATAAAAAAACACTGTTTTCTCAAATTTATAATGACGTGCAGAACCATTACAAATAATAAGAATAAATAAATGTTTATTACTACTACAGCCGTACGTAATCGGATTGGATTTCGCTATTATTTCTGTCATCGCTAAATTCTCTACACTATAATCAAGACTAGAATTGTCCTCTACTTATAAGAAAATAATAAATTTAGTTGACTTCAATAAATATTTAAACCGAATATCGATAGTTCATAATTGTTCGCTGCGTGTTTGTTTCACTACTACACCTGTCTATTAAGTACGGCATTAGCCTTCATACAAATTGAATTCGATACTTCATATGCGTCATTTATCAAACTAATCTATCTTATTTAGACAAACTATACATGTAAAGCACATCAGTGAACTGGCTAACTCAGTTCATGCATTTTATTCTTATACGCTAGAGGTCGTTAAAATTCCATAACTGTCTGAATACCTCCATATCACATAAGGTATTTAAAGATAATGTTACTGGAATGACTAATTATAGTGAAATTCAGCAAAATACCTATAATAAATACCATTAAAATACTAAGACGAATATTTAAGATGCTCTAATTATTACAAATACTTATAGAATACTAGAAATTCAATATTTATTAACGTACTAGCTGTTGCCCGCGACTTCAGCGTCCAAATAAAAAATAATTAAAAGCCCATGTATCTCACTGTTAACGTAGCTTTTTAATGGTGAAAGAATTTTAAAAATCCGCCCAGTTTTGACTTATTTCAATACATACAGTGGTAGAGCCCGCTTAATATCACGACCACACAAAAAACAGGCGTGAAGTGGAAGCAATTCCGCGTTTCGTCAGATGAGTGTGGTGCCGGAGGTCTAATTACAGTCCCTTTCCCTTTTCTTAGAGGAATAGATGGGAAGGAAAAGTGGATTTGGCGGCGGAGGGGACGAATACGAAGAGAAAATTTCCTCTTTATGTGCGCCTCCTCCTCCGTCAATGAAGGTAGGCAACACATCTGCAATTATGGATGTTTATGGGCAGCGGTCGCTTTCCAT